GAATACATGAAAGGGAGGGGGGGGGAGGGTATCCCTCTCTAATGAGGTCAAACAGGGAGAGGGATAAGGGTGTTTAGATTCAGTCCGAGGAAGGTGACATGAGAGCCAATACCTCTGATTAAGAGACTGTCCTTGAAAGGGCGGGGGAGGGAAGGGAAAGGGGGGAGGGGGGGAGAGGAGAGGGGGGAGAGGGGAGGGGGGAGGGAGGAAGAGGGGGGGAGGGGGGAGAGGGGGGGAGAGGGGGGGAGAGAGGGGGGAGGGGGGGGAGAGGGGGGGGGAGGGGGGGGGAGAGGGGGAGAGAGGGGGGAGAGAGGGGGAGAAAAGGGGGGGAGGGGGGGGGAAAGAGGGAGGGGAGACAGGGGGGGAGAGGGGGGAGAGGGGGAGAAAAGGGGGAGGAGAGGGGGGGAGAGGGGGGAGAGAGGGGGAGAGAGAGGGGGGAGAGGGGGAGGGAGGAGGGGGAGAGAGAGGGGGAAGAGAGAGGGGGAGAGAGAGGGGGAGAGAGAGGGGGGGGAGGGGGGAGAGGGGGGAGAGAAGGGGGAGAGAGAGGGGGAGAGAGGGGGGAAAGGAGAGGGGGAGAGAGGGGGAGAGAGAGGGGGAGAGAGGGGGGAGAGAGGGGGAGAGAGGGGGGAGGGGAGAGGGGAGAGAGAGGGGGAGAGAGGGGGAGAGGGGAGAGGGGGGAGAGAGGGGGAGAGGGGGAGAGAGGGGGAGAGAGAGGGCGGAGAGAGGAGAGGGGAGGGGGAGAGGAGGGGGAGAGAGGAGGGAGAGGGGAGAGAGGAGGAGGAGAGGGGAGAGAGGGGAGAGAGAGGGGGAGAGGAGAGGGGGAGGAGAGGGGGAGAGGAGAGGGGGGGAGAGGAGGGGTAGGGGGAGAGGGGAGAGAGGGGGAGAGAGGGTGAGAGGAAAAAGGGGGGAGGGGGGGGAGAGGAGAGGGGAGGGGGGGGAGAGAGGGGGGGAGAGGGGAGAGAGAGGGGAGAGGGGCTCATAACAATAAAAATGCTTTCAAATGAGCTGATGTAGGTAACAGTCTTAGCTTGCCCAAAGTTAGGAATCCTTAACCTGTAAATGCTTGTCAATAAAGCTAGGGATTTTAACCTTGTCAAACCCGTGTAAAAAAAAGGGGGAGAGGGGGATCGAGGGGGGGGGGTGAGGGGGAGGAGAGGGGGGGGAGAGGGGGGGAGAGGGGGGGAGAGGAGGGGGGAGAGAGGGGGGAGAGAGGGGGGCGAGAGGGGGGGGAGAGGGGGGGAGAGGGGGGGAGAGGGGGGGGAGGGGGAGAGAGGGGGGAGAGAGGGGGGAAAAGAGGGGGGGGAGAGGGGGGAGGAGAGGGGGGAGAGGGGGGGGAGAGAGGGGGGAGAGAGGGGGGAGAGGGGGGGAGAGGGGGGGGAGAGAGGGGGAGGAGAGGGAGAGAAAGAGGGGAGAGAAAGAGGGGAGAGAAAGAGGGGGAGAGAAAGAGGGGAGAGAAAGGGGGAGAGAAAGGGGAGAGAAAGAGGGGGAGAAAGAGGGGAGAGAAAGAGGGGAGAGAAAGAGGGTGAGGGGGAGAGGGGAGAGGAAAGGAGGGGGGAGAGGGAAAGGGGAAAAAAATTTCACTAGTAGCGGTCCATCCCGTCAAAACAGTTCGACTTTCTCTCCCACTTTTCTCTCTTTTCCCCTTTTCTCTCTCGTCGTATTCAGAGTGAATATCGTGCTGTTTCAACACGTCAGGGATACAGTCAAAAGCTTTTAAATCCGTTTTGTATGTAAAGAAATAATGGTAAATGTACAGATATAAATTTAGACACGTGTGTACTTGCAGTTCCGAACATACATACACAGGTTCACATGTTAATACATACACTCGCGTGCACCTAAGTACATACATAGACATACATAATTCACAGCTATCATTACTAACTCACTCTTACCATAATTAAATTTTTATCATACAGAAAAAAATTCATTATTCACTTCACAAACCATATCCAAAATTCGTCCACAGAAGATGCAGCAAATTAGGACGAAAGCGGCAAAAGTCCTACTATTTATGCCAAAAAAAAAGATGGTGTGTTCTTAGACAAGGTTCTCGTGGGAAGATTGGTACATCTTCCAGATCAGACACCCACAGCTCATGTTGTGTGACGGAAATAAGGGGAAAACAATGCTACCCTTTTGTTCCCACTGTGTAACTATCGTATAAAGCTATCTCAGGAATAAAACCAGCCCTGTGTGATGGTATGTGAGAGGGAAACATATCAAAGCATTTCAGGTCTTCGTTTTCAAGGAAAATGCCTTAATACTCTGCTGAAGCTGTCAAACAGAAAAGCAAGTGCATCTGATAACTTTAAAGCACACACCCCCCACACAACACACTGTTAATATATGTCGTGCCGAATAGGTAAACTTGTGATTTTGGCAAAAATAGCAATAAGGTTAGCTAAGTTTTTAAGGTTTTTCCCAGGTACAAAATTATTTTTTCATTAACATAAATGAAAAAAATAAATATTTAAACGTATAAGAGAAAATTTTAGAAAGAACTTAATTTTAAACGAGTTCTTGCTAGTTCACCAGCTTTACCTATTTCGGCACGACATTTATATATATATATAATATATATTATTATATATAATATAAAATATTTATATTTTAATATTATATATAATATTTTATATATATATATATATATATTATATATTATATGTCGTGCCGAATAGGCAAAAACTTGCGATCTTGGCTTAAATAGCAACGTCATCTTGCCATATAGGAAAAGTGAAAATTTGTGTATGCAATAATTTCGCCAAAATCATTCTGACCTAACGAAAAAATATATTTCGATGTGTTTCTTTATTATTAATTATTGTAAACTTGTATAAAATATATTTAGTTGGGTTAGGCTAAAATAAATTGTTCTTGTTATAATAAGGGTTGGTAAGTTTTCCAAGATTCTTTTGGTGCAAAATTATAAATTTTTTCATCAATTTTTAATGAAAAAAAAAAATATCTTTAAACGTTAAGAGAAAATTTTAGAAAAGACTATTTTAAATGAGTTCTTGCTAATAGACAGTTTTACATTTTTCGGCACGGGCATTATATATTATAAAATATATATTTTATATTTATATATATTATATATATATATATATATATGTCGTGTCGAATAGGCAGAACTTGCGTCTTGGCTTAAATAGCAACGTATCTTGCCATATGGACAGCGAAATTTGTTGTATGCAATAATTTCACCAAAATCATTCTGATCTAACGAAAAAAAATTATTTCACTGCGTTTTTTTAGTATTAATTATTGTAAACAATCTAAAAAATTTTTTAGTTGGGTTAGGTTAAAATAAATTGCTCTTGTTATCATAAGGTTAGGTAAGTTTTCTAGATTCTTTTGTTGCAAAATTAAAATTTTGATATTACCATTAATGAAAAAAATATATCTTTAAACGTATAAAAGAAATTTCAGAAAGGACTTAATTTTAAATGAGTTCTTGCTAATTGACCAGTTTTACATTATTCGGCACGACATAATTATATATTAAAATAATTATATAATATTTTTATATATATATATATATAATTATATATATATATATATATATAAATTATATTTATATATTTTTATATTTATATATATTAATATATATATATCTTACCGCCAAAGGGAAAAAGAGAAATGGAGTGAGTGGGTCACCTGCTGAACACCCTCTAATGAGGGAATTTCCCGTTCGCCAAACAAAAGAATTGAGGGTTTGCTGTAGCCATCTGAAATGAAGGGAAAAGACTGGGGAACTTATCCCGAAAAGCTGGCAAGACCACATCTCTTTTCATCATATTAAAGGCCTTGGGCTACGGGGCCCTTTTCTTTTGGTAAGTCCCTGATGTAGGCCTTTCTGCATGAGCAGCCGCTTCCTGCCTTGAGAGGGCATCACCCAGTTGGGGTGGCAGGAGTAATTGGCGGCTTCTACGCGAAAAGGGTTTTTTACTGCTGCTTTGGCAACGAGACTGCGAAGAATGTTACCGACAAACAATGGGTCCGATTCCCCCCTTCTTCTTCAAGCGCATAATGAGGCTCCGAAAAGAAAGGTTTAATTTCTTCTCGAATCCGCCCAGCCAGACAGTTGTTGCGAGGCTGTTAATTAGAAGATTGATGCAGCTGCACCGAGTACTGGGTTTACCCTCTTTTTGATGTGATGTGGGGCGTATTCCAGTGTAACCTGAAGATCCTGCTGGAAATGACCTATCGTTTGTAGATTTTTTGATTCTGGCAAAATTAATTTTCTACCGATGGGATCTTTCTCAGGGTCGTTGTTAACGACCCTGGTGTCCCCGGTTGGGTGTTGTCTCTTAGTGTTTGGGGTGTAGCTTCATCTTTGGGAGCAACAGTGTTGTCACTTGGATTATTCTGATTCTTCCCCTGTGTTACCTTCGATTTTTTTTTCTAACCCGTGTTTAAATTTTTTCGGGTCTGCCTTAATTCATGCGATGATGGGGCAAAAGTGGGCAATTATCTTCTTGCGTAGCTTTAGCACTACTTTAACGACTGATGTGGTTACCAGTTTGCTGCGTCTTGCAGCAACTGCAAGAGTCATTTTCCGAACAGGAGCAGGTTGCGCCCAAACCTTAATGGTGTCTCTGGTTTTTAAGTTGGGATGAAACTCCATTCACCTGCTTAAAGTGGTCTGTGAATTTCCTGCTGCATATGGACGAGCCGCTTTAGGAATGTGAGACAGGGTACTGCTTAGCAGTGGAGTTGAATTCCATTAGATCTTCTCAACTGAGGTTGCCATTGGAATTATCAACTGCTACATCTGAATATATATACAATGTAATAGCTAGGATAAGGTTTATATAAGGTTTAGGCAAGACCTTTTTCTAAACATGATAAAAACTTAAGTGTTGGTATTAAATAAGAATACAGATGTAGGAAAAACACTGGACTTGTGTAAGGAGAGAGAGACAGAGGTAGAAGGACTGGCACCAGAGATAAGGAGACAAAGGAGCCAGAGTGGGACCAGAGAATACAAGACTCACGACAGTGGTGCTCGTCGGAGGCGTCGCCGCAGTGGTCGTGGAAATCACAGACGTTCTCGCTGGGGACACAGAAGTGGTTATTACACTTGAAGTGAGACGTGGGACACGTGTAGGTCTCTGTGGGTGCAGACGAATGAACGAGATGAGACACGTGCATGCCAAGCACACACAACAATGATTAAGGGATTAGAGTTAAGATTGTGGATTCCCTCTCACATAGGCCTCTAGGAGCATGACAAAAGAGTTGAATTAGTTAGACTAGCTTTAAATAAAGAGATGTCGAGTATTTCAAACAGAAGTTTAAGAAACATTGTCAAAAATGAACTAGCAAAAAATGAGTTTGAAGAAAGAACAGCACAGATAGGAACTAGCAGATCAGCTGCGCATCATAATGAAAGGTGTCAAGTTAATATATTTATGGAGACTAACAAGGTCAGTAGACCGCAAAGATGATGTTGCTGTTAGACTATGCTAGGTTAATAAATATATCTGGTCGTAAGGTTTGTACCAGAGATGTCACTGACATGAAAATGCAGACTGTGGCCAGGGCCATACACTGGGGCATTAGCTCTCAGAGTGTCCGAACATCCAGTCTTTCAGAGACACCTCCATGTAAACCTTACAGGATATGGCAAAACACTTTTGTTAAGACTGTATCCACGTTGACTAGAAAAAAACTATATATAAGGTTACAACCCATTTATGACCATTTTTTAATTTTGCGATAAGATAATTACGTTTTTGAGATTGTATTTCCAAAGTGTATTGTGTACATTAGCTATATAAAGTAAATGTAATATACGAAATGACTAATAATTTCTGCTACGTAACAATATCCAGTCGGGGTTTGATTGAGACCCATTGTGACCTAATCCTATTTTATGCGCTACCGCTCATTGGGTGCATAATAAACTAACCACTTAAGCTGCACAACTAACTCTGTGGGTGCTGGAGAGAGACTTTAAAAGGAAATACGACCCAGAGGCTGGCCGGGATTAAGGATGGGCTTTAGGGGATGTAACCCAGGTGCCTCCGCCAGCTGGAGGGTCTCCAGGAGCTACAGCCAGAGGCCTCCGCCAGCTGGAGGGCCTCCAGGAGCTACAGCCAGGGGCCTCCGCAGCTGGAGGGCCTCAGGAGCTACAGCCAGGGGCCTCCGCCAGCTGGAGGGTCTCCAGGAGCTACAGCCAGGGGCCTCGCCAGCTGGAGGGTCTCCAGGAGCTACAGCCAGGGGCCTCCGCCAGCTGGAGGGTCTCCAGGGGCTACAGCCAGGGGCCTCCGCCAGCTGGAGGGTCTCCAGGGGCTACAGCCAGGGGCCTCCGCCAGCTGGAGGGTCTCCAGGGGTACAGCCCGGGGCCTCCGCCAGTGGGAGGGTCTCCAGGGGCTACAGCCAGGGGCCTCCGCCAGCTGGAGGGTCTCCAGGGGCTACAGCCAGGGGCCTCCGCCAGCTGGGGGGGTTGTGATTATTTTTCCTTTTGAAATATCACTGGTTGGCCTCACAGTACCCGTGGTTTCCCGGGGCCTCACAGTACCCGTGGTCCCGGGGCCCCACAGTACCTGTGATCAGGGGCCTCACGGTACTGTGGCCCGGGGCCTCCGGTACCTGTGGTCCGGGGCCTCCGGTACCTGTGGTCCAGGGGCCTTTACGGTACCTGTGGTCCAGGGGCCTACGGTACTGTGGTCCAGGGGCCCTCACGGTACCTGTGGTCCAGGGGCCCTCACGGTACCTGTGGTTTCCCGGGGCCCTCACGGTACTGTGGTCCAGGGGCCCTCACGGTACCTGTGGTCCAGGGGCCCCCACGGTACCTGTGGTCCAGGGGCCCTCACGGTACCTGTGGTCCAGGGGCCTCACGGTACCTGTAGTCAGGGGCCCTCACGGTACCTGTAGCCCGGGGCCCTCACGGTACCTGTAGCCCAGGGGCCCTCACGGTACCTGTAGCCCAGGGGCCCTCAGGTACCTGTAGCCCCGGGGCCCTCACGGTACCCGTAGCCCAGGGGCCCTCACGGTACCTGTAGCCCCGGGGCCCTCACGGTACCTGTAGCCAGGGCCCTCCCGGTACTTGAGGGCCTCCCCGGGACCTTAGCCCGGGGCCCCCACGGTACCGTAGCCCAGGGGGCCCCCGGGACCCGTAGCCCCGGGGCCTCCGGACCGTAGCCGGGGCCCTACGGCCGTGCCGGGGCCCCAAAAGGACCTGTACCCCCGGGGCCCCCCGGTACCGTGCCCCGGGGGCCCCCACGGTACCTGTAGCCGGGGCCCCCACGGTACCCGTGCCCCGGGGCCCTCCGGTACCCGAGCCAGGGGCCCCCACGGTCCTGTGCCCAGGGGCCCCCCGGTACCTGTA